GACAGTAAATGAATCAAATTTATGTTCCATCTGCAACAAGTCTTCGGGTAAATACTGCTGTACTGGATGTAAAAAGTATTTTTGCCCAAAACATTTCAAAGAACATGAACAACAACTATCAATGCAATTTGACGATGAAATAGTTAGAACACATGATGAGCTTCTTGATCAAATACAAAAATTAGAAAAATCGAATATTTTGCCATCGGATCTTTTTGATCAAATTGAACAATGGAAGAAAACAACAATCGATAAAGTAGAAAAAGCAGCAGAAAGGGCTCGTCATCAGTTAGTCGAACTAACAGATAAACAAAGAAGCAGCATAACAAAACAATTTGAACCTATTACAAAAGAAATTCGTTTTCGTCGCGAAGAAGAAGATTTTCTTGAAAAGGATATTGATCGACTTAAGCAAAAGCTCAATGAAATCAAACAAAAACTTCAACAATTTACTCAAAAAGACACAGCTAAGACTATCATTGTCGATAATGATCAAATTGATTGGAATCGTATTATTCATGTTCGAGAAGAACAAAAATACTGTAAGTACATTTAATTAAAATTATAGAAAAATAGACATTCTTCGATATTCATAACGTATTCAGCAAAGCAAAGTATCATTCAGTTTGAGGCTTTTGAGATTTCAGAAATTCGCATCGTTTAACAAAACTGATGAAAATAAAAATGTTTTCTAGATTTTCTATGTATTCATGCATGTCGCTGTTTTGTGCTATATCATCAGAAGTCTAATGGATATTAAAAGAAGAATCATTGTTGAAGTGTTTCGAGATTTACACAATTATTCTGACCGGAAATGACTTAATAAATTGTGTCACGTTAATTATCTAGAAATATTTTCAAAAAATATTTTCAGTTCAGCTTTGTCAGTCATTAGTCATTCAGAAGGCAGAGCATGCTCACATTCTATGATGAAAATTATCCGAAAATAGTCTCATTATGATAACCTAACCTTGATTTCAAATGAAACGAAAATGCTATTTTCTCAAATTTTTCTTTATGACTTGGTCAATCAAGGAGCCCAATTTTTTCTACGAAATTGATCAGTAATGAATGTATTTTTATTCAACACAGAGTCGATAAAAATAAATGAAATTAATTGAGAGAGAAAGGTTTCTAGAGAATCATTTATTTTCGAAAGTTTTAGAAAGGAGAAATTTATATGTTGTAATAATAAGATGGTTGGCATGAATTTTCGCAATATCCCTAAAGTTTGCAACACAAGATATCACAAGAGTATGAACGTATAGAATGTTGTAGAAGGAAGAGACTTACTTTAAGAAACTCGGTAGTTGAAATTTTCCGAAATGATTTGCATAATCTTTTCTATTATTTATACTGGTAACTCTCGCAATATCGTGTAAGTTTAGGTGAATTTCCTAAGAATTTATAGATATCATTATCATGAATTAACAGAATTGTGTTTTGTTGTAGCATCGTTCCTGCTCAGTATAAACCTTAACACAAACTCAAAATGGTTACAGAATGGTGTTACTGTGGCTGGAGGAAATGGAGTTGGCAACCAAACGAATCAACTCAACAATTTATGGGGTCTATGTATCGGTGATGACCAAACTATTTACGTAGCTGACTGTGGCAATAAGCGTATTGTGGAATGGAAATATGGTGCGACAACTGGACAAGTTGTAGCTGGTGGAAACGGATCAGGAAATCAATTTGATCAGTTGGCTAGCGCAACAGATGTGATCGTTGATAAATCAAAAAATAGCCTCATCATTTGTGATTACAGCAATAATAGAGTAGTTCGATGGTCTCGTTCAAATGGTAGAAATGGAGAAACAGTCATACGGAATATTGGATGTTGGAGCTTGACAATGGATGATGATGAATTTTTATATGTATCTGATTATGACAGACATGAAGTTAGACGATATGGAGTAGGAGAAACTCAAGGAACCTTGGTTGCAGGTGGAAATGGATCAGGAAATCGTCTCGACCAGTTGTCTTATCCCGGATATGTCTTCGTTGATGAAGATCATTCAGTGTATATATCAGAGTACAGTAATCATCGCGTGGTGAAGTGGATGAAAGATGCAAAAGAAGGGATTGTTGTAGCCGGTGGTCAAGGACAAGGAAATAATCTTTCACAATTATCAGGCCCTTACGGAATTGCTGTAGATAAATCTGGTACTGTCTATGTGGCTGATAGCGAAAATAATCGAATAGTACGCTGGCGTCAAGGAGCCACACAAGGCGACGTCATTATTGGTGGAAATGGTCGAGGGAATCAATCGAATCAACTGTATGATCCAATGGGATTGTCATTTGATCGAGAAGGCAATCTTTATGTGAATGACAATGGAAATTCTCGAGTGCAAAAGTTTAATATTGATCGAAGTTAATGATTTTTGAAAATTATTGTTGGACAACATTCTCATCACACTGTCGAAGGGGTGTGGATATGGT